ATTTAATATTTAATTAATTTATTTTTATTTAAATAATAGGGTATCTAATCCTATTTCTTTTTTAAACTAATTAGAATAAATTTTCCAAAATAAATTTTTTTTATAAACTAAAAATTATAAAAAAAATAAAATATCGACGGCAATCGGAGCCTGTGCGGATGACATGCACAAAATTAATAAATTAAAATGAGATCTCAAATCAAACTCATTTATTAAATTCTAAACGTTTCGACCCACTTCGGGTCTTCTTCAGTAGCTGCAAAATACAAAGAAACAAAAATAGAAGATAATCGGTACAATCAGAAAATTATAAAACTCGTATACATACAATCCGCAAATAAATTAAATATCATTCTCCTCCCTATTCAAACCGTCCGGCCGTCGGAGTGTCTCCCTAACGGTGACCATCGTCAGGAAGGAAGCAGAGCCGTGACTCCCTTACCAACACTAATCAACATGGTATAAATTAAACGTAGAACAATTCACAAGAATTAAAAATTAAAAACCGGGAAGAACACTCACCCCGACAGCAAAAACAGAGAGAAGACGATGCTACACGTGACACATCACTCTAACGACTGTGCGGTATTCTACCTCGACACAGTCGATACATATATACGCAAAAAACAAATATAAAAATAAAATATGAAAATAAAAATAAAAATAAAAACAACTAAACTAATCGGCACTCATGTCAAAAGTCTAACAAAAAAAACCCGGCTATGTAAAATCACAAAGCTAGATTTTGGTAAATTTTTCTATTAACAGATCAAGATTCTCATTTAATTTATCAGTGTCGCTATGTAAATTTAAACTATTCCTCTGACGTTTTATGTGGATCATTTCGGATATCAAACGTTTACCTAAAAAAGGCTCCTCGTCTAAGACTTTTACATCCTCCCAATTAAATTCATGGTTCAATAATCTATGTTCCGATATGACTGATAATTGTGACGCGTTTCTTTTTATGTTGTTGCGATGTTCTTTCATCCTAGTTTTCAACAATCTACCCGTCTGCCCTACGTACGACGCATCACAATCCATACAATCAATTTTATAAACTACATTATTATGGAGTTCCCTTGGTAACTTATCCTTGTGTACTTTAATGAATTTACGGAGACTGTTAATTGCTGTATATGATGGAATGACATCCAAATCACGTGTAATGTCCTCGATTCTCTTCGATACATTATTAATATACGGAATATTAAAGTACGAAACTTTTTTCTGCTGTTGGAATCTTGTCATTGCATATATTTGCTCTATTGTTATGCAACTTATTATTATAGCGGAAGAACAACTTTTTTAACCGCGCTTGCAAAGTATGAAATATCAAATTGAGAGGATAATTATTAGACAAAAGAACTCCAATCATAGACTCAAAGTTACCTTTATGGAATTTCGGATGAGATAGCCAAAAAACTCTATCTATGAGGCTGATAATGTGTGCCTTTTTTATGACAGAGAGGATGCTGCGATTCAAAATTTAAATATCTACCTGAATACGTCGGCTTATGAAACAAATCAAACTCAATGCTCCCATTATTTATAATAATGGTGACATCTAAAAAATTCAATCGGTTGTCAACCCCCTCCTCCATGGTGAACTGCAATCTAGGATGGAAAGAATTGAAAGTGTTTAAAACTATTTTAAGCATGGAGGGTGGGGCCGCCAACGCGATATCGTCAACATATCTAAAATAAAATGGAAATGACAATGGAATCGCAGCAATCGCTCTACTCTCCAAATCTTGCAACGTGATATCCGCAATGATCGGTGAGAGGGGGGAAACCCATAGGTGTGCCAAAAGTCTGTTGATAACATACATTATTAAACATAAAATAAGTCGAGTTCATAATAAAACGAATTGCCAATAAAAATTCATCTCGTGGAATAATACACTCTTTTTCAATAAACCCCATCTGTTAATTAAACTATCAATAGCCATATCCAATGGTACGTTGGTGAACAATGATGCAACATCTAGTGAAACTAGCTTCACATCACTATCCACACATAAACCATTTAATTTGTTCACTAATTGAAAACTATCAGAAATAGCCGAATCAGGTTTCGGAATTGCCTTATATATTATCTTATGTAAAAATTTTGCCAAGTAATAAAGAGGTGTATTCCTAGATGACACGATGACACGTAAAGGGCAATTCGGTTTATGCACCTTCGGCAGACCATACGCTCTCGGTAAAACCCCGTCCGTGCAGTTCAAGGATTTATATGTTGTTGAAGAAATGTAATTCTTCGTTTTCCATCTCATAAAATTCCGTGTAATTGATTAATTAGGTTCCTAGTCGGATCTTTTTTAAAACAGTATAAGTATCCCCCTTCCCGGTTTTTAATTTTATTCTGTGAATTGTTCTACGTTTAATTTATACCATGTTGATTAGTGTTGGTAGGAGTCACGGCTCTGCTTCCTTCCTGACGATGGTCACCGTTAGGGAGACACTCCGACGGCCGGACGGTTTGAATAGGGAGGAGATGATATTTAATTTATTTGCGGATTGTATGTATACGAGTTTTATAATTTTCTGATTGTACCGATTATCTTCTATTTTTGTTTCTTTGTATTTGCAGCTACTGAAGAAGACCCGAAGTGGGTCGAAACGTTTAGAATTTAATAAATGAGTTTGATT